TCTGTGGGTGGGGTAATCCTTGCTGAGGAGCCAGAGGCAGTGGAGGGGGAGAGCTGGGCTGTAGTATGTGGGAAGGTGCTGAGAAACTTTTTTTTTTTTTTTTTAAATCAAGGAAATTAAATGCCCCAAACCTTCATTAACACAGTGTTAAGGTTGCCTGGTGGCACCTGGCATTCTTGTCCTTCCAGAATGTGGAGAGGGCTAAGCTTAAACCTCTGAAAACCAAAACATGAAAAGTTACAGTACCCGCCACGGTGCATCCTTAATTTTGTCCTAACCACATATTAGCAATGTACTGTTGCAGATGCTACAGAACACTCAGAGACTGGAACATGTGAGCACTGTAGGATAAAGTTGAACAACACCTCTTTGCTTGAGCAAAACTTGAGTTTAGATCAGGCGTAACAAACAGGAGCTGCCTACACTCAAACACTGTGCCCACTCCACACAAACCTCCTCAGACTTGCTATATCTTATCGTCCCTTTACTCTTGTGAACCTCTGTGCTCGCTCGCTGACTCACTCACTCACTCGCTCACTCTCTTTCATCGCAGATCATCTTTGCAGATACAGAGTAGTACAGTGTCGCCATTCATTCCTGTCCATGGCTTTGTTCCTTCATGAAACCCAGCCTGGTTGTGTCCCTGTGTACGATATCCTGCAGTGTAGTAGGTCAGACTGATCTTGGTTATGTTTGCATTATTTTCTTTGACATTCCATCACCTGTTGTTTTCAGCAGTCTCTGCATCATCATAATCTTTTAGATTTATAGCCAGTCCTGTACTCTGATTTCACATCCTACTGTCCTTTTAACTTCTTGGTTTGTTTTAAAAATTATTCCATTTTATACCTGCCATGTTTTGAAAAACTCTCATCTGTACTGCCTCCAACCTTTTGTCTTTTTAATTTAATGCAGTTGCTTCCACCACTTCTCTTGGTAGCTTAACCTGTGCATCACCCTTATTTAACCCAGTGGCTATTGCCAGTTTATGGTAGCCAGAATTAAGTTTGTGTTGTGGGGGTACTTTAAGTCTTTTGCTAATTTTCAAAAGGTCAGCCACTCTCCATTCTGGAAAGGCATGAGGCACTACTGGGCAACCTTAACTCTGTGTTATGATGTTTTTGGGTAATTATAGTATCAATTCCCTTTTTAAAGCATTTATAATGGGATTTTTTATTAGAATGAAATATTTTATATAATTTCTGTAAACCATGGTACAGTGCAAAAATAAAACACTCTATCTGCTTCAAACAAACAACAAAATGTCTGTCCTACTTGTTGTGGATTGTACATGGTGAGATAGGAAGTTGTGTTTCATATTGCTTGTTAGGCAGATAAATACATAGAATGGGATTGTTGTAGACACATTGGCACAGTGGTTTAATAATCTTCGAATTACTAATTCGGGGAGAGATTAGTAAAAGTACAAGTGGCAAGTAACCATTGTAGTATTAATTTAATTGGAATATATAGGCCCAAAGAGTCAAAGGTGTTAACAAGATCCTGTCATTGTCCAGTGTTAAACAGTGTTAAACAAGGTGTGGGGTTTGCTATACAGAAACCTCAACTTGCTTAGAACCATAGCAAACAGACCATTAGAAATCTTTTAAACACTTTAATAAAGATACAGAAAAGAAGGAAAAACAGTTAAAGCATTGGACATGTAAAATATTAAATAAGACTTTCATTTTAACAACATCCCTTGTTCCCTTTTCCTTTAGCTGACAAGAATATTTAGAAGGGGGAAAAAAACCTTGTTTAACAGTCTCTTGAATCGTATTAAAGATGCTAATAAAGACATCCTTTTGGGGAAAAGAGAAAAAATTAGCAGAGCTGGGCTGGAGCCTTCATTGGCGGTGATGGTGTTAAAGTCTGATCCTGTTTCCTAGAAGACAAATCAAGACAAATGCGCACAAAAGGGGAGAGAAAAGAACAGCAGAGAGAAAATGCAGCTTCTGTGTTTGGTGGTGACTCTCACTTGCAACCTCACTGCTGGAAAAACGCAGGCACAGGACATGATCTTTTCAGCCATTCAGAGATATGACAAACTCACTCCAGCATCAAGCTATTTAGGGCATTGCTTTTAGCTGCCTCTTCTGGCCATAGGCTTTTAGAATATACAGTGTTAGGCAGCTAAGCTAGGTTCTTATTAATCAGAAGACAAAAGGAGAGAGATAGGAAAGAAAATAAATTAAGTGGGGAAGGAAAAGGATACATGGAATATGGGGAAGAGAGAGAAACTTGCACATCCCACATGGTGTTTGGGGTAGAGCTGGAGCTGGTAGAGGGGATGGTATCATTGTGGTCCTTCTGACTGGACCCAGACCAGAAAGAACATCTTTCAGGACCAGGATTAAGAATGGCCAGGGTGGTAACCATGATGGTGAACTCGCTCCAGTAGCCAAATTTTCTCCCAAAGTCTCTTTCTTTAATGACCCCATAAAGGAATGATGGGTGTAATAGCCCTTCCCCTCATTATGTTGGCCACCATTTAGGCCTAGTTTCCGACAAACCAGTTTTGGTTCATTTATTTCCCATTCCGCGTTTTTCTTGTTTACTAAGAATGATCTTAACACAGTCCTTGAATTATATCAGCAGGACTTTTTGTTTGGACTAATACAATATTTCTGTCTCCCTTTTGTACCTTTTCCCATCAATATTTGTCATTATAGGTTATTGTGACATCTTATGAATTTTCATGCTGATTCCAGTGCTATTTCAGCCTCCTTTCACTTGTTTTATTAAGTTGCTTTTTAAATCTGAGGTCTCTCCCTCTGAGGTTTGTGTTCTTTTTTTTTTTTTTTTTTTTTTTTAAGATAAAGCACCTCTGTCAAAGAGTCTTTTATTAGTCCCAAGTGCCCTGTCGGTTCTATTGACTCTGCTCTTCCAACATTATCAGAAGTTCTTCACATATAACCTACAAGCTGTAAAAGAGGATTTTCAGGTAAATTTTAATTCATTTATGTAGAAGGGGGAGGGGATTTCTAAATATTAACTCTGTTCCCCAGTGTATTTCCCCTGTAGTTCTTCCCCCCCCCCCATTGTCTTGGACTCTGGGCTTGTTTATTTTGGAAGTTAGTTTGTAATAAGATAGGGTGTGAATTTAAAGCACAATTGTTTAGCTAAACTGCACAAAGGCACTTTAGTTCAGAATAAGTGTGTCCACTTATTAGTTAGTTAGCTGCTGTGCTAACTTCCCATGTAGGCACGCCCTTAAATCACCAATCTGTTACCATCACTACTCCCATTTAGGCCGTATCGGTATCACCACCCATGAGAGATTTTTTTCACTTCTGCTAAAAGAAACCATCAGAGTAGCTCTCATTTCCTTCTGCTGGGACGCTGATATTATTTCATCATCTGTCTTTCAACAGAGGAGAAGTGTGAGCCTTGTATAACTTGAGCATAAATTATGGCCATGTCTAACGCTACCACTTATGTTGGCAAAATTTGTGTCGCTCAGGGATGTGAACCCCCCTCTCACCCCCCGAGCAACATAATTTTTGCTGGCATAAGGGGTAGTGTGCACAGCACTATGTTTCCAGGAGAGCTTCTCCCGCCAACATACTACTGCCGCTCATTGAGAGGGTTTTATTATGTCGACAGGAGAGCTCTCTCCCGTCAGCATAGACCGGCTACATGAGAGATCTTACAAAAGTGCAGCTGCATAGGTACATCTGTGCCACTGTAAGCTTGCTAGTGTAGATATGGCCAAGCACATTTAATAGTATATGATCTTTTGATGTGAATAGGAATAATTTTGTTGTGTTCATAAATTTATTTTGTGGTGGAAGGGAATATTGTAATCATCTCGCCTGATCTGCATAACACAGGACATAGATTTTCACCCAGAGATTTGTGCATCTAGCCCAATAACTTGAGCATCATTTTTAGAAAGACACAAAATCTCATTGTAAAGATTCCAAATGAGGGAGAATTTGCCATATGCCTGAGTAGTCTGCTCCATTGGCTAATTACCCTCACAGTTAAAAAAAATTGCAACTTATTTCCAGTTTGAACTTGGTTGCCTTCAGCTTCCAGGCATTGAATCTTGTAATGTCTTTGTCTGCTTAATTAAAGAGCCTTCTAGTATCAATATTAATCTTCAATACAATATTCTGTATTTAAATAACATTACTGTAAAGTGCTCTTCGTTTTTGGAGGCTGCATACCATTGCTCAGCAGAAAAGAGCTAACAAGTGACTCTTACTATTTTCCCCAAATGTGTTAGTCTTCAGACCCTAAAAGGTAAACTGAAAAGCCCCAAAAAGTGTGCCCTTGACTGGTTCTTTATGCTACATAAAAACTGTCTCAAAGGACTTTTGTTTGTTTTTGTTTAGTTCCAGTATTTTCTGCTTGTTTTTTAAGTTAAAAATACTAGGTTGTCACTGTCCTGTTTTTTTGTTTTGTTTTTTCCCCTGGAGGTTTTCCAAAGAGCTTTGAGAGACCTGAACAGTAGTTTCACATGAGATTATAACTTAGTTATCCCCCCCCTCGCTACCCCAAATCCCACTCTGGGCAGGAGGAGAAGCTGATAAGATTCCTTATGCCATTGCTGTTTTCAGCCTGGTCTGCACTTAAAATTTATGTTGACATAGCTACAGCGGTCAGGGGTTAGAAAAATCCACATAGCCATAGCTATACCAACATAACCCTCAGTTTAAATGCAACTAGGTTGATGAAAGAACTTGGGGAGGTAAAGTTTCTACAGCAATGGAAACCACTCTTCCATTGCTGTTGGTTGCATTTATGCTATGCCATAGATATGCTGCTATAGTCCCTGAATTATAGACATGGCCTCTGTGTATTCAGTTGTGGGGAGGGAGAGCTTCATCCCAGCAGCTCAGATTACAGCTTCATGTAATACTATTCAGGTCTTCCAAATATCTTGTTAAGGTCCTATGTAAAAAGAGGGAAATGAGGACCTGATGTTTCTGATAGTTCAAATATAAGAATCAAGCAGAATAAAAAATTGGAGAAAAAGTTTTTTACATTATAAAGAACAGTAAGGGCAAACCCATATTTTGTTTAACTTTTGCTCTGCAGTTCATCCTAAAGGGAGTCCTAAAATCACTTGATTTTCTTTATGCTGCTGAAAAATGGTTTATGGTAGCAGTTCCCTGTTGAAGGGAACCATCTTTTTCTGTTATCAGCGCTGCTATATGCAAGTATCTGTGGAAAGCACGGTATATTAGTATTTGTAAATGTGAACTATTGAAGATGAATTGATTTGATTTGAATGGAAAGATAGTTTAAAAAAGAAAATCTTACTTGGAAATGTTTTATTTTTTTAAACAAACTTTCTAATATCTACTAATCACTTTAGAAAAATGATTACAGATATATGTGGACCACTCTATTTACTCTGAATATTGTCACTAAACGTTTCCTCCTCTTTTGTATTACGTCAAACCTGAACACAAATCCCCTGAAGAATTTCTGTGAAGGATAGGAGAGAATTAAATATCTTGGTACTTTTATATTCTAGATTTGGAGACTTGTATTTGGGAGAACAGTATGTCTTGATCTGAAAGATACATTCTGCAGTAGTTTGCTCATTTATAACTTTAGGATATTTGAAAGAAGATATGGCAGCCGAAAATTTTCAGTAAGTGTCACTTCTATCATTTTCAATACCCACAATGATTGCTAAATCCTCTGGTCTCACAATATTGTCAGATATGTATATTGTTGTAGTCTTTTTGGATAGATACTTTGTTTCATATCATGTATGTTAACCAATTTTTTTAAATGGCATGTTTGATTTTAAAGATTATGTTAAGGTTTATCCTTAATTGAGATTTTATTTCCATTAATCAAAATGTATTTTTAATTGGTATTTTTACCCATAAATCACAATTGAATAACCAAAGAACATTTTTAACTTTTTTCATTTAATAAGTAATGGCTCAAGCTAAAAGAAAAAATGTTGGTAGGCTACAGCAAGTTTTATGTGGTCCATGAAAGTGAATTTTATTGAACAATCCAATTCTTTATAGTTCTTTAAGATGAGAGAGACTGGTCTGGTAAACTTATGTTGTAAAATTGTACTGTAATGTCCAAGGAAATAAACTTGAGCTTAATTGAACTATTAAAATGGATTTTTTCAACTTTAAACATTAGAGCTTCTGCCTCAGAGATTTATGTCATCCATATGTTTATTCTTATAGAATTAACTGGCTCCAGTTAAATTAATTAATTCATGTTTGGGACCTATCTGTTTTGTTTTTTCCTTTTCAGTCCTTTTTATTGGGCTCCTGGATGCTGTCAGCTTTGTTTGATCTTCTCCTTGTAGAAGTTATGCAATATGCATTTGGCATCACCATCAGTAGTTTGCCTTCTGGATTGTAAGTAGTTCTTAATGGGCTTGGCTTTGTCTTAGATACGATTTCAAGGGATTACTTAGCACAGATTTGGGTAAAATAACCTACTAATGTAACCCTTCAAATGCAGTATATCCTTTTTGACATAAAATGTAAATGTTCTTGGCATGAATATTCATTTGTATAACACTATTTTCCAAATATGACCTGTAGTAGAGTTGAAATATTTTTAGTATTACACTTCCACTTTGTGATGACTTTCAATTCCACAACATTGTCTTTTTCTCTGTCTTGGAGTAACTGAAAGGAGTTACCTTGCAGTGCTGGCATCTTTTAAGCTTTACCCAGTACAGTGTTCCTGAATATTTGTTTTGATTTCACACTCTTTTAAGTGTTAACTATGCTGCTGAAAGCACAAAACTAATGTTACTGTAACTCACTTTTTAAAATATGCAAAACTATATGCATTTCATACTGGAAGGTACTTCATTAGTTCACATTTCAAAACTCTTTGAGTTTTATAGGACATCATGTCTATATGTATTGCATTTCATATTTGAAGAGTGAAATGTTTAAAAATTAAGGTTCTTCAGGAGCTCAGTTTCAAATAAGCTGCTTTTGAGATTTGTAGAATAAAAAGAACATAGAAAACTAGATGGCTAACTGAGTATTTGCATTTAGGTTTATGCTTTAGTGTGGTCAACCTCACATAGGGGTTTCCATATGCTGCATGCTCTTTGATATTAAGAAAAGATTTTATAGACACTGTTTTCTAATGACAAATGTAAGGGCTTTCGGTTTCTGATCCTTAGTGTATCTGATGGAAGAAACATTAGACATTCTCATAAGCATGTGGAAAGTTATACTGTAGTTAGCCTAATTAAAAAAATGTGTTTTTGTTAGACTTTCTAAGGTTAGCTATTATAAGAGTCTTGTAGTGCGTCAGTATTCGGAAAGATTAGAGGTGGGACGTACATTATTTGTATGTTTGTATAAACTAAATCCATTATTCAGGAACAAAGTATATACTATCTGTTTAAGCTTTGGAGTATTCCAGACATTAGTAATGTTGTATATTATACTTACAGGAAATAATTAACAATTTGAATAATTTATCTCTTCTGCTATTCAGTGTACTTTTTATTTATAATTACAGAATTTCATTAGTTTTAGGGTGTCAAAATACTGCTACATAAAAGAGATTTTATGTAAACCAAATGTAAATATCAGTTAAACTTTCGCTTCAGTTCATGTTTTTGTTCTCCTGGAAAAAGCTGAACTTATGAATATAATAGATACTTTGATTTCATATACTATCTGGCATGGAAATATAAAATCTTAATGCATCATATATAAGCAGATGTGTTAACTAGTGGTCACACTGAAATTCTGCATGTGCTTTATTTAAAGTGTATATACACTAGCATGGACATTGACTTTTTTACACTGGGAAATATTTACATTTGATTGAGAGGCAGTACATCACGGACAATATATTTATTTGCCTGCTTCACCCAGATGGTAGATCATAAATATCTTAGTTCTCCTGGATTTACTATGAAAAATGTAAAACACATTGATGAAACATTAATATTTTAAGTCTTTGGTATTCCACTTGTCCCACAATTATGCTACCACAGATCTAATGTGTCCCAATATTGCCAACTCCAGAGAATTCTTGAATACAACCAAGTTGAAATGTCAAAACTTCAGTGAAAGTCACTTGGCCCCATTATAAGAATCTTCTGATTTTGTTTATATCATTTCACTGTTTATATTACTTAGTGACCTTAAACTCCCAGATCGAAAACTCTTCCTGCGCACGCTTCGAAGATAGTTGCGATAAAGCATGACACTGATGACTCTAGCCTGAAATTGTTTAGAAACAATATAGTACAGAATAACATCTAAGCACGTACTGAGATTCATGAGAAAGGTGGTAAAGGCTGCCCATGGATTGTAACTCTGGTCTTCGTCTTGCAGCATCAGGAAGGCAAAACAAATGTGGAAGGGCACAAAGCAGACAAGCACTTGCACAATCAGAGTAACTATAATTTTTATGGATCTTTCCTTAGCTTTGGGTTTCAGTTTGGAAGTCCTGCCATGGACAAAATGGTAAATAATGACTAGATAGCATCCAATCATGATAAACAGGGGAATCAAGAAAAAAAAAATCAAACGAGAAAAATTTAACATATTGACTTCCTTTAGATGGATGATATCGAGCATCTTCATGCAGGTAGTAAAATTTGAGGTTTTATCTGGATCCGAATATAAAAATAGCAAAGGGGACGTCGATGCAAGGGTCATTATCCAGATACCAATGCAAGCTAGCAGAGCTTTCCTTGTATTCCTAAGTTCTTTGACGTGTTTGGGCTGGACAATGGCCATATATCTATCAACACTTATAAAAGCAAGCAGCCACAGAGCAATGCTTGGATAAAACACAGTGAAAGCACCAAGAATCCGACAGAATATATCTCCAAATGGCCAAGCTTCTTTTGCATAGTAGGTTATCCGAAAAGGTACGGAAAATATAAAAATTAAGTCAAGGAATGCGACATTCATCATATAGACTGTTATAGTTGTTCTTTTCTTGGTGGTGCAGCTGAAGACCCATAGTGCAGTGATGTTCACTAGCAATCCAATTATGAATATAAAACTATAAAAGACAAGTGATGCAATCCTGTACTCTTCTGGGTGCAAGTTTCCTGGCATAATGTTTTGACTTTGATTGTGTTTATTCATTTTTTTCTCCTCTTAAAACATGATCCCTAAAAACAAATGAAGTAAATAATGAGAAATGAAATTACAATCAAAATTAGAGTTGGACATTTGTATAGAAGCAAAACAGGTAGTTGTTATTTCTTGACCACAATTATTTTTAAAACACATTTTAAAAATAATTGCAGTCAAGAAATAAAAAGACATTATTGTAACTCCCAAAACATGCTAGGCTTACTTTGTCTATAGACATAATGTCTACCCCAAAGATATTACATATACGTAGTATCAAACTTGTAGGGCACGATGTGTTATTTAATAATTAAAATATAATTATAGGTGCTTTTTTTAAAATAACTAATTAAAAATGTGTCTTGTAAAAGGATTTCCTAAATATAATGAGAAAATGTGAAGTCCAGGATTTCTGAATGTAGTTATGTTTGGCTTTTTGTTTGTTTGTATTATTGTTGCATCTAGCAGCCCCAGCCAGGGACCAAACCCATGCTATACAAACACAGAACAAAAAGACAGTCCCTGCCCTAATGAACTTACAGTATCCGAAGTTTGCTGTTTTAAATAGTTGCAAATTAAACAGAACTCTTCTACTTGTCCTTAAATTTTGTAAGTAGCCTTTTCTAAAGAATATACTCCTCGATAGTATATTTGTATTAAAAATAACCAAAACTGACTAATAAAAAGAATAAATAAACATGAAATTTAGTGTAGTTCCTATACACAAGGAAAAATATCAGTTGTGAATCTTAGGCACAAACTGCGTAGTTCCCAATAGAACATATGTACAGTGTTGCATATGAAAGGCATGAAAAGAAGAAAAAGGTATCTTCATAGCTACTTAGACTCTAAGTATAGTATCCATATCCAGGGTTTGAAAAATGTTTGCCAGATACATACTAGTGAGAGGACTACATTTATAACTTTTATTTTAATACAAAAATTCGCAATGGAGAATGAACCACGCAAACTTCACAACAGTGTCCTTATGAGAAGCTGCTGGGCAAAGGGTCGGCATTTTTTGTATCAGCCTCTTTGTCATAAGTGTTTTGAAAACTGAAGTTTCATCCTGCTACCTCAGCTGCTGAAAGAGAACAAGAAGCTTTCTCTCTTTCTCCACCCTACTTTGGTGCAGTGGTCTACTATGTGACTTCCTTAACCTCTTGGTGGTTGCCAGTGTGCCTGTGCTACTGTACCCCTCCCCTAGCTTCCTAAAAGGAAAGAAGAATGTGTTCTAGTGTTCCTGCAGCCTCCTGGCTGCTTTGTGTATGGCAGGGTTCTCTATTACTCGACCCTTGACCCAGCCTCCTGGCACTTCTGTGTGGGAGGGGAGAGGTGGGATCACTGCTACTTTATTCCTCCCCCAGTTGTGTGTGTGTGTGTGTGTGTGTGTGTGTGAGATCTCCTTACCCCCAATAATTGAATAGTTCCCAGTTCCTGACTGTTACTGCTCATGTTTTTCCCAAGCAGCAGCGAATGCGATATCCATGAGGTCAGTGGACATTTTAGGCTTGTAAGTGACGAAAGGACATTTTCCATTTTAGGCTTGTAAGTGAAGAAAGCATTTAAAGAGTAACTTAGTTCACTGTTACTCTCTGTATTTTTTTTATCTTTTCACTGTAATGTCCGCCATCTACTTTACTTACTAATACAGAGCTTCCAGATTAGACCCGTGGTTTGTTTAGTCCAGTATTCTGGCCGAAAATGACTAGTTACAGATGCTTTTGAGGAGAGTACCCCTCTATTGAACAATAATGGTATGACCTGTCTATATGGGAAATTTCTTCCTAATCGCTGTCAGTTAGGGTTAACTTCTGCCTTGAAATGTGAGGTTTTATATCTCTTACTTTTTGTTGTTGTTCTATATAATGGAACTGTAGTTTATTTCATTAGTACACATAAATGTCTAATCCTATACTCTTGGTCTGAATTAAGTTTTCTCATTTATACAAAATTTTGCTGATTCTCTGAGGATGATTTAGTCATTAAAGTGAAAATGTTAGTATAAGGGCAATAAAGTAAAATGGACTATTACACTTGGAATGGAAAAAATATGGAGTGTATTATAGTGACAAGGAAGGAGATTTGGAGGGAGATTCAGAAATGCCTCTGAAGTGGTCAGCCCAGAGGATGGGTCAAATTAAAAGTAATATTTTTAAAAGATATTGAGGCACATCAAAGGAAGGATGGGCCACATCCCAAAAGTGGGATTCTGTTAATGTGCAGCATAGTGATGAAAACTTATCTAACAATCAGTTCAATTTTGATCATGTTTTCATAAAGATATTTTTTCTAAGAAGTTACAAAAAAAAAGTATAACAAAAATTTTGTTAATAAATTACCATAAGTATAACTATGAATCAGTATTATGGGAAATATACAAACATGGAACTGACCCCCCAAAACACTCCCTGCAACAGTTACATTTGTCACCATATCCAATACCATCATTTTTCTACCTAGAGAACATTGTTTTAGGCAGTATGTAGCCTCAAACTTTTCATTCCTTCTTTCTCTTTATGGGTTTTAGATTTCTCTTTGTAGTGATTAAGTGCTTGTGATATAATGTATTACTTCTGAGCTCCTACACCAATTTTTTTTTTTTTTAATAATTGTTGAAGACCTAATTCCCAACCTTATTTGGTTTAAAATGGGTGTCAGGAATTTGGCATGTAGATGCTACACAGGTAAAAAATACCTAGGTATATTGGGGATGGGGGGGAGGGGATGGGGAAGTTTGATGTATAAATAAATGCAACTATGACTGAAATCAAGCCATTGCTGCATGCATGGATATCCATTAATACCACTGAGAGAGCAGCATATGTGGATCTTCATTGTGTGCATCTGAGCTGAGAATTTTTCCCCCATTACTATATTTAGTGATGGGAATATTTAGCTGTTTAAATTGAATAAGTGGATTTATCAAAAGGTCTTAAAGGGGGCACTGGTTTCCAAATGTCTGATTGATACGATTTAATGATTAGTGGAGGTTTTTAGAGTATTGTGAAAAGACTTTCCTGTTGCTGATCCATACAGGTATTGTCATTCATTTTTTATATATATATTTTTTAAATTGTGGGTGGTGTCTGAGCAACTAGTAAAGATCATAAGCTCACCTGAATGCTGTTTATGGGACATTCAGGACAAAGGCAGAATTGGTTCTTCCTGATTTTGACTGAGAGCTAATACACTTGGTTTTTTTATAAAGAGCTAAACTACTTTTGGAATGATTGCTCAGATTTTGGGGTTGTTGACGTATACATTTTCTTTTGTTACCATCTCTCTGCCTCCATCTAATGTCCGCATAGATTTTCTGTAGTTTGGGTGTATTTATGGTCATCAGCAAGGTCCAGCATGTTTGCCCATTCAATATATGCAAATAATTTTACTATATAAACTACTTAGGTAAAAATCAATGTTGATGCTATTATTTATGGGAAGGGTTCAATTAATTTTTAAAATACTGAGCAAACATCCTATGTATGTGACTGCATGTGTTAAAAAACAAAATCTGTTTGCTTGAATTTACAGTCATATAATGCAGCTGTTATTTAAATTCCTTATTAGGAGTGGAATTAAACTTCCTTTTATTAGTTGTAGAACAATTCATATTTTTAAAGAAGGAAGTCAATCTTAATAATAAATATTGACATCTAAGTTACTTTTATGCTCAACATGAAAATAATTGATCAAACATTACTTACCTTTATGCACTATAAAGTTACTTCAGTGATGCTTGTTTTGTACCCTCAGATCTGCAGAAGGTTTAGACTTGCTTCTGTCTGTACAGCTTCAACTTACTAAAATAGAAACGCTCCTGCATAGTCAGGAAATGATGATGTAATGAAGCCAGCTCTGGGTTCTCGTATTGGTTTATATGTATTTTAAATATTTTTGTTAGTTTGTATGTAGACAGATCATGTCCTTTAACTTGCCAGGTTTGTGGGCTCACAGAATTCTAACATTTTTCAGCAGGTATGCTTTTACAATATTTCTGTCTTCCAAATCAGTTTCTTTGTAGAGAATACATAATACAACTCCCTTTGGCTGAAGTGTTTTGGGAATATCAAAAATATTTGGATAATTGATGTTTATTGAATACATTATTTGCACGACGGAAATAATTAAGTTTTGGTTAAAAGGACGTTTCTGATAAATAGAGTTTTAACATTTTGCACAGACCATAATCTCCTCTTGTGGAAATCCCCATTGTACTTGCATTGTTTTGAACTGGTAGTCAGCCTGAAAATGAAAGAAACTCGTTACATTTGAAATAGAAAGCTTGAATCACTTGTATGCGTTTCTTATTGTGTATCTATATCTATATTTTCTTGTTGGCAAAGTAATGGTGCTTTAATATCTTAATAGCTTCCTAAAATAATACAAAATATCCATCATCTGAGTGCTTACCAGAAAACCACTATAAACTATTCTTACTCCTGGGGATCAATTTTTTTTAATAAAAGACACATGAAGGGAAACCTCAGTATTTCCAGAGAAATGACATCTCTTTTTTTTAAATCAAATTTAAAGTGTAATGTTAAGATCCCTTTAGTATGTCCCATGTTAATTATACTACTTTATCAGGGCCAGATAAAATCTGTTTGGAAATTTTTTGTATATTTTTAGATATTTGGCAATTATTGTATGTATTACAGTGACGCTTATATAGTCAAAAAATCTATAGTTCTTACTCAGTCTTCATTCTAGCAAATCTCTCAATAAGGTCAGTGGGAGTTTCTCAGAAATAAGGATCAAGCCAGACCTGCAGGATTTGGGCGTTAGTGAAGTGGAATGAAAGTCCTAATTTGCACCACTGCATTTTATTAGAGACCTAGAGTCCTGTCACTTCTCTATGAAAATGGGTTGTTGGCCTCAGTCTGAATTTAGTGGATAGGTATTTACATCACTCACATCAGTGTGCATGGTTGTATAGTCAGAGAGTGAGATATCTTTAACTATTTAGTATGGAACTAGTTTAGAGGAACTCATCTTGAGCTACGCATGTG